AAACATTGGTCTAGGTTAGATTTAACATTAGGACTGTTTTGTGTTACCATCCTAAGCTAATTGGCTACTGTCCTTGTGCTAAAATCTATTTCTTTAGAAATGTAAGCTTTTTAAGTATAAAGCTTTTATTTGATTTGGTATAAAAGTCAAAGAAACTTCAGGTCATAATGCTATTTGATGAGAAGTGTCAAGAGGAAAGATTCTTTTAACATGGTTACTATGAGCAGCCAAAAGCAATTCTTCGGTTTTTAAACTTCTCGACAAGAAAATAAGAAGGCCTTTTAAGTATAGGATCATATCATCTACAAATGGGGATAGTTTAACTTGTTTTCCTGTTTATATCCATTTTATTTCCTTCTGTTACCATTTTACCATGGCTAAGAATTCAAGTACTATATTGAATAAGTATGAATAGACTGGGCATCCTTGTCGTATTCCTGATTTTAGAGGAAATGCTTCCAGTTTTCCCAAATTCAGTATAATATTGCTACTAAGTCTATCATGTACAGGCTTTATTATGTCGAGGTATGAATCTTCTATTTCTAGTTTCTTCAGGGCCTTTATCATGAAGGGATGTTGTGTTTTGTCAAAGTTTTTTCTCCATCTATTGAGATGATCATGTGATTCTTGTCCTTGCTTCTGTTTATATGTTGTATTACATTTATTGAATCATGTATGTTGAACCATTCTTGCATTCTTGGAATAAAGCTAACTTGACCATAATGTATAATCTCTTTAATATGTTGTTGACTTCAGGTTGCAAGAATTTATAGAAGACTCTTAGATCTGACACACTTTCAGCAAAGTAGCAAAATATAAAATCAACATACAAAAATTGCTTTATCTATACACTAATAATGAACTCACTAAAAAAAGAATTCAGGAAAATAATCCCATTTACAATAGCCTTGAATAAGCAAACTACAATAGAAGAAGCTAGGCATAAATTTAACCAAAGATATTAAAAACCTCTACAATTAAACCTATAAAGCGTAGAAGAAAGAAATTGAAGAAGACACTAGAAGATGGAAAGATCTTCCATGTTTATAGATCAGCAAAACAAATACTGTTAAAATGGTCATAGTGCCAAAAGCTTTATATATATTTAATGCAATCCTTATCAAAATCCTAATGACATTCTTCACAGAAATAGAAAAAATTCTAAAATTCATATGGAAACACAGAAAACCTTGAATAGCCAAAGCAATCCTAAGCAAAAAGAGCAATGCTAGAGGTATCATAACACTTGACTTCAAACTATACTATGGAGGCACAGTAACAAAAAATAGCATGGTACTGGCATAAAAACAGACTCACAAAACAATGGAATAGAATAGAAGATCCAGAAATAACCTCGAGCAGTGCTTCCATCTGATTCTTGACAAAAGTGCCAAAAACACAAAGTAGAAAAAAGACAGTCTCTTCAACAACTGGTGTTGGGAAAACTGGATATCTACAAGTAGGCACTATGTCCCTCTCTCAAAATCAACTGAAGCTAGATCCCTATTTCTCAAAATTGATTCAAAATGAATGAAAGACCTGAAACTTTGAAACTATCAAAGAAATGCATAGGGAAAACACTTCAAGATATTGACCTACAGTCAAGAAGTTTCTGAGTAGGACTTCAACAGTTCAGAAAATAAGAGAAAGAATTGACAACTGGGGTTATATCAAATTAAAGATCTATGCACAGCAAAAGAAATAGCATAGTGAAAAGCTAGCTTACAAAATGGGAGAAAGTCTTTGCCAGATATTCATCTGACAGGAGATTAATATCCAGAATATATAGAGAACTCAAAAATTAAATACAAAATAACAAGTAATCTAATCTATAAATGGATGAATTAATGGAATAGATACTTTCAAATGAAAAAGTACAAATAACCAATAAATATATGAAAAAAAATGTACATCCTTAGCCATCTGGGGAATGCAAATCAAAACTACATTGAGATTCCACCTTGCCCTAATCAGAATGGCTATCATCAAGAAAACAAATAATAATAAATGCTGGTGAGGATGTGAAGGGAAAGAACTCTTATTCACTACTGGTGGGAATGCAAATTAGTGCAGCCACTATGGAAATAAGTATGAAGGTTTCTCAAAAAAAAAAAATAATAGAGCTCCCATGTGATCCAGTCATACACTTGTGGGTATATACTCCAAAGAATCAAAATCAGCTTACTATAAAGATAGCTGTATACCCATGTTTATCCTGGCGTTATTTACAGTAGCCAATGTATGGAATCAGCCTAGGTGCCTGTCAATAGATGAATGGTGTGTATATATAAATAAATTAATTAATTAGTAAATAAATAAATATACACACATATCATATAGGAGTTTTCCTTAGTCTTTAAGAAAAATGAAATTATGTCATTTGAGGAAAATGGATAGAACTGAGATCACCATGTTAAATAAAATAAGTCTTTCCCACAAAGACAAATAACACATTTTTTTCTCAAATTTGTGGAAGTTAGGGGAAAACAAAACAAAACAAGAAAACCAAGGTCATGAAAGTAAAAGGAAGAGTATTAGGGAAGTGGAAGGGGATTCTTTCACAGGGGGATGTGAAAGAATAATAGAGATGGTAAATATGATCAAAGTACATTATTTGCATATATGGAAATATGATGAAACCCCTTATTATGTACAATTTAATATATGCCAATGAAAAAGGAAAGAAAGAAAAGCAATAAGGCCAAAAAATATTTACATTCCAGTGAGCCAGGAGTACAATAGAGCACGAACATAGACTGGGCAAAGGTATTAAGTCTGTGCTGTGTTCCCTGGCATTATAAATTCTAGTTCTTTTCTTCATCCATCTGCCTGGGTAGCATGATCTAGCTTTTGGAAGTTTGGAAACAAGGTAGAGCAAGGAGAAATTCATGTTGAATTTCAGACATTTACTCAACCCCCTTGTTTTCAGCCCTGCAATGATGTTTTCTGGTTTGCTTTTTATCACTTGTGCCACAGACTTGGACTACTGGAAGAGGATGTGTGCTTTCATTTGATGCCCAGAGGAGAGGAGACCTGGGCATGGATTGGGGTCTCACTGGTCCTGCTTTTCAGTCACTTTTTCAGTTCTTGGCCAACTCACACTTTCTGTGGTCACTACTATACAGAGTTTCCTCAAAGTATATTTCTCTGGAAGTACCAAGGATAAATTTTTCTCTGGTTTACTTTAAGTCAGTCACAACACCACCATTTTCTTTTTGTATTAAGACATTTAAAAATTCCTTATTTGTAGATTTGCTTTTCATTTATTTGCTTCCTTTTGGGTTTACACAATTTGTTTAATAAAGTCTATTTACTGTCATTTCAGTGTGACTTTTGGGATACAATGTCTGTGGTTAGTCTTCCCTTTTTAACAAGAAATCCAGGAGCCATTTGTTAATCATTTTCTTCTTAGTGCCTAACACAGTAGGCTCTTCAGTAAACATTTTATGATTCAGTAATCAAATGAAGTACTATACTTTTTGTAGTAATGAAAGACTCGATGGTAGAAAAGTTATTTTTGCTATAAATACAAATATAACAGCTTACAAAGCACATTTTAAGTTAAGATTTTGCTTTAGCTTCAATATATTTTTAATTTTTAGTCCTCAATATGGCCAAGGAAAACTAAATATTTTATTTTATTGTTTATATTTATGTGGTTTTGCAGTGCTGGGGATTGTACCCAGTGCCTCATGCAAGCCAGGCAAGAGTTCTACTACTGAGCTACACTCCTGCCTCTGAAGAAAATAGTTTTTTTTATTAAACTGTGTATGAAAGATCCATTTATATGAAAATAGCATGTAATGTAACCACTAAATACTGTTTAAAAAGAAGGAGGGAGAAGGGCAGCTAAGAAAGTATAATGGGGGAGTGAATTTGATCAAACGACATCATATGAATTCATGGAAATGTCTCAATGAAACCCTTTGTACAATTAATTTACACTAATAAAAAAGAAAAAAGAAAGGTCTTTTCATAAAACTTGATGGCTGCACTAACTGATAAGAAATTGGGGATAAGTGAATGGTGATAAGTAACTTTTTGAACAAGATTACTAAATGTCTTTTTAATTTTTTTGGAATAGATTCTCCATATCTGAATATTTTTCTATCCATCTTCTTTTGCATCTCCATTTTTATTATTTGGTTAATATCTTCTGTCAAGTTGCTAACATAAGATGAGGTCAGTTTTAGGGAGAAAGAATAGAGACATATACATATTAGAAGACAAAGGATGAAAATAGATGGGCTTGGTAGAGAAGAGAATATGAGAAGCAAAGAGAGCTTAGGGAAAGAAAAGTTTTGAAAAATATGACTAAGACTATTTCTTTTCCTGAGTGACTTCTCTAAAATGATTGGTAGGGAATTTCTGGGAAGAAACACAAGAAAAGAAAGGAAGGGAGTGAGGGAGATAAAAAGGGGGTAAGCAGGACAAAGGAAGGAAGAGAGAGAGAGAAAGGAGAGGGGAAGGAAAGGAAGCCAGGATATTGTTTTTAGACTTTAATTGAAAATAATCTAACACCTCATTATAAAGATGTTAGACTTAAGGTGTGTATTATCCTGTGGTCTGTAGGGAACTGACTTTAAGGTATTTTTGCCATTCAGCTTTATGTACATGTAAAAATGCAATAAGAATGTGCATCAAATAGCTGTTAGAAATTTAGTACCCTTTTGAAAGTCAGACAATGAAATGTGTCTTAATAGTGACAATGGAAAGCCAGGATGCTACTGTAATTAAAAAAAAAGTTAACAATAAGGTTATAACTTGTCTTGGGGCGTTAACACATTTTAAGATCCTTTTTGCGTTATATATGAATGTCATGAAATTTTCATCACGGTTGACTAAAGTCAAGCAACAGAACAATAATATTTTAGTGCTTATTAGGCTATAGACAAATATTTTTAGGGTTATGAAGAACAAAACTGATCCTTCAGTGATGAAAGGTAAGAAGTTAAATGCTCATTTCTCATTTACTTTTCATGTTTTTGGCTTGTTTGCAGGCGAAAGGACTCCTGCGGAAGACGGAACTTTTTGTTCATTTCCCAGAATGTGTTTCCAAGCTCATCAATGGAACCTGACACTGCTGTCCTGTGTTAATGCTTGAAGAGCACCCACATCTCTGCCTGCACCTTCCATCCTCCTGAAACCATGGTCTTCTCGGCAGTGTTGACGGCGTCCCGTACTGGGGCATCCAACACAACATTTGTAGTCTATGAAAACTCCCACATGAATATTACAGTCCCTCCACTATTTCAGCATCCTAGCATTGGTCCATTACTTAGATACAGTTTTGAGACCATGACTCTCACTGGTTTGAGTTCCTTGACAGTGAATAGCACAGCTGTGCCCCCAACACCAGCACTTTTTAAGAGCCTAAATTTGCCTCTCCAGATCATTCTTTCCGCTATCATGATATTTATTCTGTTTGTGTCTTTTCTTGGGAACTTGGTTGTTTGCCTCATGGTTTATCAAAAAGCTGCCATGAGATCTGCAATTAACATCCTCCTAGCCAGCCTGGCTTGTGCAGACATGTTACTTGCAGTACTAAACATGCCCTTTGCTCTGGTAACTATTCTTACCACCAGATGGATTTTTGGGAAATTCTTCTGTAGGGTATCTGCTATGTTTTTCTGGTTGTTTGTGATAGAAGGAGTCACCATCCTGCTTATCATTAGCATTGATAGGTTCCTTATTATAGTCCAGAGGCAAGATAAGCTAAATCCATATAGGGCTAAGGTTTTGATTGCTGTTTCTTGGGCAACTTCTTTTTGTATAGCTTTTCCCTTGGCTGTTGGAAACCCTGAGCTGCAGATACCTTCCCGAGCTCCACAGTGTGTATTTGGGTACACAGTGAATCCAGGTTACCAGGCTTATGTGATTTTGATTTCTCTCATATCTTTCTTCATACCTTTCCTGGTGATACTGTATTCATTTATGGGCATACTTAATACCCTTCGGCACAATGCCTTGAGGATTCATAGCTACCCAGAAGGTATATGCCTCAGCCAGGCCAGCAAACTGGGTCTCATGAGTCTACAGAGACCCTTCCAGACAAGCATTGACATGGCCTTTAAAACACGTGCCTTCACCACCATTTTGATTCTCTTTGCTGTTTTCATTGTCTGCTGGGCCCCATTCACCACTTACAGCCTTGTGGCAACATTCAGTAAGCACTTTTACTATAAGCACAACTTTTTTGAGATTAGCACATGGCTACTGTGGCTCTGCTACCTCAAATCTGCATTGAACCCACTGATTTACTACTGGAGGATTAAGAAATTCCATGACGCCTGCCTGGACATGATGCCTAAGTCCTTCAAGTTTTTGCCTCGGCTCCCAGGTCACACAAGACGACGGATACGTCCCAGTGCTGTCTATGTGTGTGGGGAACATCGGACGGTGGTGTGAATATTGGAACTCTGACATTTGGAATGATGATTGTTCCTTATTAAGTGAATTTTTTTCATGTGTTTTCTCCACTTAAACTTTGTTGTTTTTTATGGTTTTTGCGTGTGTACATAGTGTAAAGAAAAAATGGTGAGTAGTTGTAGGTCAGTTACCAAGAACACACAATAGAAGGTGATCACAATTGTTACCTCCAAGGTTCAACAGAAATCCTCCATTTAGGGTGAGGAAGTGGTTTCTTGTTTAAACAAATTGTCTGATTCTATTTTCTTGTAGAAGGAATCAGGTTTGTGCTGTATTGCACCTGCCGTTACCTTGAATTGTAGGTGTTTTGTATGCTGCTGAGGTGTACTTAGTTGAGCTTATCAATTTTTTTTCTAGAATACACTGCTGCTCTTTGTTATCACATTGGAGTCAAACCCCCATATATCTCAGTTGATAAATATTTAGTTTTATTTAAAAAAATAATCCAAGCTGGTTAGTGACATTTTAAAGGTCATTACTATTTTCTTTGGTGCACTTTAAGAAACAATGTACAAATTGATTCAACCTTATTTTTCAGAATTGTTTTTATACATGACATGTTGTGCTTCAGGAAATGGGTACATTGTCATTTCTAGGAAGATAGTTTTTAAAAAAAAATATTTTATGTGCATGTACAGTTTTAAAAGAGAGAACATAAAAATGTAGTAAATTTTCTAAGCACAATAGGGACTCTTCAGAGCAATAGGGGAAAATTGAGGAGACAGCACCCTTATAAATTTCTGAAAGGAAAAAGTGAGGAAAGTAGCTGGCACAGGCTGGGACAATTCATTTTACTTAAGGATTCTCACCAAGTGTAGTTGGGAGAAGGGGCTGTCACTAATGGATACTTACTGTGTGCAGGCACTGTACCTAATCTTACCCTCATAATAGCATCCTGTGAGGTAGGTATTATTTTTTCCTTTTTACAAATGAAGAAAGCAAAGTCTCAGGTACTAAAATCCTGGCCAGAGTTAGTGGTAGAGCTGAAATCCAAACATCTGTTGAGGTCCTGAGACTGTGCTGTTCTACTGTGCCACATAGACTACTCACTCAGTTTAGGTGTTTTATAATCAAGAGGGAACTTTGTATATCCTTGTTTTAAAGATAAAACCTTACTTAAAAAGTAGTTGCATTCTTTTGTTACTAAAGAAACAGGAATCTGGTACAGAAAGTCTGGAAACAGAAAAGAAAACAAAATAATCATGGCTACCTTTTAAGTGGTACTTTAAATTTAAGTATAGAAATAAATATAAACAAGTATAATAAATATAAATGTGATTTTTTTATTTGCAAAACAAGTGACTGACAATTATGGAAGAATTAAATACAGCTGTACATAGGTCTTGCACTTATGGGGCTGGAAGTTTCCAACTGTTCAGCTGTGTTCATTGTAAATTTTCTGAGTAGAGTAGCCTTGTTTCTTCAGTCCTTGCCCGAATAGAACTGGAGTTTGTGAATGTCCTCAAGTGCTGTGTCTACCACAAAGAAGGGAAGATGAAACTTGGTCTAAGCCTAGAGCAAGTTTTAGTAGAGTAGTTCTGAGAATCTATGTGTTTTTCTTGCCAACTGTCTACAAAGTGCATCCAGGGCTTTGGTTGACTTCTGCTACTACTGGCACCCTTTATAAATAGTCAGCCATAATGTGACTGCAGGATAAGGCCATAAAGACTGGAAGTTTGACCTCTTGGCTACCTCTTTGGCTAAATGGGTACTTTAACCAAGAATTTATAGAAGCTTTTGAAAATTTTAGGACTTTGTGGGTTGTTGGAAAAAATAAGCCTGATTCTTCACTTATAAGACCAGAATTGGATTAGATGAACATCTAATGACTTGTACAACTCTAATGTGCTTTCTTTTGTATAAGAGTATAGGCATTTGAAGAGCCCAGCCAATTTAAGCATCACTCTTTGCTCTCCAGTATTACTTCTTTATATTTTACATCATTAGCTACTTCTTATATTAAATATCTGAAGACTTGTGACATGGTATCAGGAGTTAGGATGTTGGAAGGGTGATGACATCACTGGAAAGTAAACACTGCTCTTAAGGTGATTGCAATGGTGTTGAAACTCACATCTAGTTAAAGAACTTGTTTGGGATGCAAGCATATTATTCAGCATGTTTTGGGATTTCTTTGGATGATAGTCACCTACCTCTTTAATTTCTAATTTATATCACAGATAAAATTGTTTTTGTCCGTAGGAATCTTATAGGACATAAACACTGTAGTAGATACCAGTAGCATGGTAAAATGTACTCTGCTTTCCATTGTGAATATAAGTTAGATTTCAAGCAATTATTAATAAGAATATTTGAGCTCTGACTTTCAGGAAAGTCATCAAGGTCTGTACTCATCTTACATATTGTTGGGACTTTTGACTCCTTTTGTGGCTAGAGTTGAAACTGAAGCTTTGTTTTCTTTATTCTTGTTTTCTGAGCAGCTTTTAGGTACTTTATACGGCCGAGTTGGCATTGTTTCATTTGTCCAGGTCTCCAGAGTGCCTGCTGAGATGCTCAGTGTTCATGGAAGACTGTCAGGGCTCTTTGTGAGAATTCAGCAACAGCACTGAACAGGGGCTCTCTTTACACTGGATAATCTTGATTAAATGACAGTTTACAAATCATCTTGATCATTTTTATTATGTACACAGTTTGAAAGCTTTAAAAAGAAAAGCACTATGGTACATCTTTGAAAAATTTAGGTGCAAAATTACATGTTGCCTATTCCCCCGTGTTTTCTTGAGAGGGGAAATTACCACTATTAATTATCATTGCTGTCTGACATAATCAGAAATTTTTTGGGGGGGTTTTGTTTTGTCTTGTTTTTCTTTCTGGCTAATAAGTAAGACACATGAAAGAGATAAAGAAATATTTGTGGTTAAAAGAGACGAGAAATTCCAAATAGTCTGCAGTAGTGATATTTAAACTTTAATAAGTGTTTGAATATCTCTGGGAGAGCTAAACAGTACAAATTTCTGGGCCCACAAAAGGTTTGTGATTAGGTCAGGAATGTATGTTTTTATTTTATTGAACATTTGATTCATTTTGATTCAGGTGGTCTTCGGGGCACACTTCCAAAAAAAATGCTCCTGTAGAATTCACATCCATTTAAATATTGTCTACTTTATCTCAAAATATTTGTTTTATATTGCAAGCAATTATCTCCTAGTGCATGGATAATCCACTTTGAGAGGAAAATCTACGTATTGTGTGCCTAGTGGCTGCCATGTGTATTAGTGTGGATCTTGCCAGTGTTAGCTTCACTTTCTTTTACCTGGCAAAATTCTGATGAACCATATAGTTTCAACAGTAGAGCTCAAAGAGTGACTTAGTTGAAAGTCATGACTTTCAGGAGTCTAATTACTCTAATATTTACTTTTTTCTTAGAGACATCTTTCTCTTCATTGTATACTATTTCTTAAAGATTGTGAGGAAAATGTAAAGATTTTTCTACTTCCTGTTGCTCTGTTACATTCAATGGAAGCATGAAGTAAAATAAAGTAATTTTCTTAATCTATGTATTGTTGTTGCTGTAAGGATGTTTATTCTTTAGATCTTTGCTTTTGTTTACATGAAAATATTTATGTGTATGTTACAGAAAAATTTCCACCTGCTTGATATTTTGTCCTTCCATGACTTTGTGTTAAGTTTAAAGAACTGCTAGATCAACTTTACTTTCATAATCATAGTCCTGCTAAACTGGCTTCATTGAAATCTCAGTTTTAATAATAATAAAAGTATTGAAGCACATGTTTGTTATTGCAAGTAAATGATAATACACATCTTAGGTATCTAAGATGGTATTAGTACCATCTTAATTACAAAGGACTGGTACTAGTCCTTTGTAATTACAATGGTACCTGACCTATATGCTATGGTTTTTTGTGCATATTTTTATTACAACCAAGAAAAGAGCTCCCAATAAGAAAATGAATAATGTTCAACATTTCCAAAGTGGAGTTTCTTTTTTGAAGGACTTCATCTCAGAAAACTTCATCATGAATAATATGTTCTGTAAAATTAAAATCTGACTAGTTTCAAATCCTGCTTCCTTTGGGTTCTTATTTTCAAATTAACTCTCAAAGCCTGTGCGTATGTAACTGTATTCTAGTTTTAGAAATTTTCAGAGTTGTTAAGGATGAAATGAAACTTGACAAAAAAATTAGGATTTAAAACAGTTTTAGGGAATTCTGTTTAGGAGAGTTATGAAAATTTTATTGCTGTGTTGTTTAAAGTTAGATTGGCAGCTGGCAAAACACAATGCTTCTATATTGATTAAATGATTTCATATTGCAATTCTATTTCTGAAATCTATGGTCTTTCTAAAATCCATTTATAAACCCATAGGAAACATCATTTATTTGTATCCTTTCTATATAAGTTTCCATCACCTGTAATATTAAAGAGGGTCCTTTGTTTCAAGGAAATTGAAGGCATTTATAGTTACAGCTATACTAACTCTAAGCATAGAATACAGTGATAATAATAACAACAATGGGTTATTTGAGGCTTTGTATTTGGATTATAATATACAGTATCTATTTTAATTCACAGCATTTCTCCTTTTCTAGTTGAAGAAATTGTTCCCAAGACATTAGTAACTCAGATATAGTTGGGATTCAAATTTAGGTTTAATGTCAAAAATCATACTTCTTCTGGGTCACCTTGCTCCTATTATGCTCTGATGACATAACTGAGCCCTTAGGGACAAGAGCTTACTAAAAATCATACTGGATGATTATTACTGCCCATACATTAGAAAATAAATTCTCATAGCAAAAATTCTTGTATCAAAGCTGTGGATATTAATGCTGAGCCTAGATTGGGCTGGTCTGGGTTTTAAGTCATAAGCTGTATTTGGTTAAGGCAGAAATGACTGGGCTTCTGAGAGCCTTGGACACATAATCTTTAATGTTATACAACATTTATGGAGCTTGTTGAAGCAGAAATTTTTGGGACACTAACATGTAACTACTTCCCGTAAGGAGTTCTACCTTTTTGGAAAGAATTTTGTTATAGAATAGAATGGTGTTCCTGTTACATACTGCTTTGCCTGGAGTCCTGGGATATTTATCTATAGTTGAGAAGGTGGAGGTGATGAAGGCTGGCAGAGGTGGCAAGGCTTGGCATGGCTTAGATGTTGGAAGAGGCATTGTGAGGCTTTCATGTGCACACCTCCCATGCCCAGTCTTTGCTGGGGATACTTGCCTAAGCCCTCGAAGGAGCAAACACCAATAGATTAAAGAGCTGTCAGGAGGACTCCAGGAGTTCTGCAGAGGAAAACTGAAAAAGCCACCCCTGAAAAGTGATGGTCCCTACCAGACTGTGAGCCCCATGAGTAGTGTGGTGCTTACTCTTTCATCTAAGCACTGAGCTCAATTCTGGTACACAGTAGTTGTCAGTTAATATTGTCAATAACTATTAAAACAATAAT